GTCTATACATGGTGATCCTTGCTGAAGAGTTTATTTAGAGTAGAGCAGGAGGTAAATTTGCTGTAGTAACTCTGAACCAAATCTCAAGATATTTCAAATAATTTATCTCCCAGAATAACACCACTTTGGGATCACGCCAGAAAAATTTGTGACGTTTTATTCAGGTGTTGGAAATGAAGGAGGAGAAGAAGAGAAGAGAGTGGAATCTCCTACTATTCCAAGCGCATGGTCAAGGAAAGTGAATGAAAGCAGAATGCTCAAAAGTAAAAGGAGACGCTGATAACACCAGCGACAAAATGGTTTTTTTTAACTCTTTTGATTTTTTTTTGCTGAGCATAAAAATTACATCAGTTCTCAGAAATGGATGTGAAATATTAGACAAGAATGCGACAGAAAAACGAAAAAAAAAACACTCAAACCGAGTGAATAATCTGAGCATCATTCGAGAAGAAATGTCCTGTCCTCGTCTAAATCATCGCAAAATTAACCAAGAATCAGTTTGATTTAGTTTAAAGGTTCCATATTTGGCGAATGCGCTTTTAAAGTACTTACCACTTTTAGGTACTCTGTGGGTACCTACTTACTAGAAGAACTTGATTGTTTTGCAAGAACTTGTTGTTGTGCAACTACTGTAGAACTATTTCGAAAAGTTCCAACCGAATTAGCAGAAGCCTAAAAAATCGGGAAAAATAGCAGGAAAACACTTTGTATGCCAGCGATTTAATATGGAATACATTAGGATTTTAATTAAAGAAATTAGGTTGTAACTCCCTCAAGTCTCTCTCTATAGCTTCCACAGGCAACTTCAAAGCAGCCTGCATCTGGATGAATTATTGCGGGAAAAATATTTGGCATTGGGCCAGCAAAAGTTGCCTTAATTGAGCGATAGTTATTCGGTCTAAAAGATCTTGTTTGTGACAAACTTAATCTGGCGAAGTATAAATATTGTCGCGTCTGCAAGTTGTGACTGAAGCGAAACATGTGTTTGTAAATTTATATGTGACAACGACACCGCCGGTTTTTCTTTGCGGGTTTATTGCATTGTTTTTTTTTTAATTGCACTCCTTGATGGCATTTTTCATTTTGAATTCCTTTCTTTTTGAGTCCTCAGTCCTTGATTTTTGAGAATTTTCTTCAATTACATATTCAATGTTAAATTCCTGTCTTATCAATGTTACTTATTTGTGTTAGTTGCTGCCTAAATGTAACCAGTCCTTTCCAACATTTGCCAACCTGTTGCTTGTGGTCAAATTTAGTGATGCTGAAATTTTTGTTTTGCCAAATTTTTTTGTGTTCTTATATTAAATGGATTTTTTCCTTCAATTATTTCCGGAGTATTTTTTTAATTTCACTTTGTGAAATGTATTAATCACCCAGTGTTGCCGTTTCGCACTATATTCAGCCACACACCGAAAAGTGATAATTTGTGCACATACTGCGGCCTTTTATCCTATTGAACGTAATAAATTCGGCGGCTGGATTTTTCAACTATTTTCTCATTATCTTTTAGTGGTTTTTTTCATTTAAATTTATTGAATTCGTATTCCTTTGCTGACCGAACTGTTGATAGTTTTTTAAATGTTTTCACATTTAAGAAGAAGTTCATTTAGAGTAGTGTGAGTGTGAGTCACTCTTCAATGTGTTTACACGGGCACATACATAAGGGAGCTAAACGTGCAGAACCTCAACCTTCGAATCACCACCCTGTTGTTCCTATTTGCAGGTTAGTGACTTGTTTCTTCTTCACTTAACGGGGGTTTAATTCTAAATAGATCATTGAGCCCTTAGTTTCTATAGGATGTAGATGAAATCTCTTGATATTATCGGTTACCATAAGCTATTTTATCTTCAGCTGAGCTTTCGATAAGTAGCAACGGGCATTTACGTAATGCTAATACGACAGATTACCTTGAAAAAAAATTTGTTGCATAACTTCCGGTTTAGTTTTTTGCAAATTTCTCAGTTTTTGAGGGAAGGTTGCCAATTTTGAATCACCCTGTTTGCGGAAGTTCAACAAGCGGAAAATTGAAGTGAAAAGATTTCCAGCTGTTCGGTGCGAAAATGCCCTGAGTGTAATTTTACCAGCTTCCCAACCGGCAACATTCCTGATCCAAAGCAAACATAAATAATAGTTTTTAAATGAGACAGGACGTTTCACACGGAGCGCGTGTGTGGCGCGACACATGATTCGAGACCCCGACGAGTGACGAATTGCTCAGGACAGGGAGATACCTCACAACCGAACATGACACATTTCACAACATCAATGTGTTAGGAAGCCACTAACGAGCTTGCCACTAATGTCAAACATCCCCCCAATATAATTTATTAGGGGGATTTTTTCTAAATGCGCCAGCGATTTGGCTCGGTGATTTTTCCTACAACTAAGAGAATCCAGAGCGTAAAACTACCACAGCCATTTGGTTGTTGGGTGGCTCGTTGCAGCAAAGAGTGTCTTGCGAAACATCGGCAAGATTTTCTTTCCCACGACGACCTAAAATGCCGAAAGTTTCACTCCTTTCAGCGTAACGCATAACGCAAAGTTTAAGCGGCATACGAAAATTATACAAACATCCAGAAGTAGCAAAAACATATTTTTATCCAGTAGAACTGGGTCAGGTCAATCTGGAGGCTGTTTCAGTAAATTCTAAATGAACATATTTGGCTAGTTATTTCTCGTTATTCCCAACAAAATGATGAGCGGGAAACATCTTTGAACATATCGAAGCTACTTGGGAAAAAATGGTAGCTGTTGAAAGACTTGAAAATATATGAAGGGTCCAAGGAGGAGGCGCGCAAAGTGTTTTGGCCAAATTGGGTAGACCTAGCTGGTCGGCGGCTTTTGTCTGTGGCTGTTAGTATAAAACGAAAAATTACGGGCAGTTTGTCGGAGGTATCTAAGAAAATTCGTTCGCAGGGAAGTCCTGACTGCAGGTGCACTAGATCGAAATGTTTCCACAATATTTCTAATGAACAAATCAAAATTCTTAAAACTTCAGTTATTTAGGTTCCTAGTATGAGCACAGTTTTTTTGGACCACTTTCTCTGAGCCCCGTTATTGAACGATAAATTCGACGACCTGAAGAAAAAAACGTAATTTCCGACATACTTTTTTACCGCCAAACTGTCATGACCCCCCGCCCCCCCATTCAATTCTTTATCCAACGATGCCAAAACGAATTCTGTGGCTCGAATGGTTCTTGAGAAACTTCGAAAAAAGCAGACTTTGAAAAAAGCAGCGTCATGTTCAAGTGGATTTTGCAACTCAAAAAAAACCACGCAAACATAAAACTTCTTGAATTCAAGCATTTTTTGAGAAAACTGCCAATATTTCCTTATTGATGGTTCACCTGGTAAAAAGGCCATTTATTTCTCTCTAGA